GTTTTGTTTCCATCTGTTTTTAGATATGAATTACCAATTGTTTAGACCTCATGAGTTTTTCCTATACTATGTATCCTTGTAAGTCTCTGGATAATAGTTCTTTTGATATATACTGTAAAATGTTCCTTAGTATTTCTATGTGTGGTGGTGATTTCAGTTATCTTTCTCTCCGTCTTATAAGGTTGAAATAGGTTAGTGCATACAATCTTTACATCTGTTGATCAATTGCCAGTAAACTGATCTGTGCCTGCGCATTTGAAGTGTTGTCTCCAGTGGTGGATCAACCCATTGGTTGATGAATCTTTATATCATTTGTAGAATACTGTGAAGTTTCTTGACGTAGCTTTGTCAATAGATATAGGCTGGTGTCATGTAATATAATTGAGTGAACTCTATGTATATTGTGCTCTTGCTTTCCTCGAGGAGCCAATTTGCTTTGCTTGATGACATTATCACAATCAGTTTCATAATTCCCATCAGTTATTGCTTTCATCTTATATGTTTTGGTCTTCTTTTTCTTTGTGATTTATTCTTGCACTCACAACCTTAATGTCTTCATGGCAGGGCCAATGCGCAACAACCGAAGCTCTTTGTAGGGATGATTCTTATCCTTATCTTTGCTGAAGCTTTGGCTCTCTATGGTCTCATTGTCGGGATCATCCTTTCTTCTCGTGCTGGTCAGTCTAGGGCCGATTAAAAGGGCATGTTAGACTTGAGCATTAGTTGAGCTTCTTGCAATCGAGTAAGAATCTTATTTATATGATTATATCTCCTCTGGTAGCATGGTGGTGTGGCCATGACAGTCTTTTCAGGATCAAGAATGTTTTGTTTTGTTTTCTTGTGTGGAAATTGCGGGTTTGCAAGAAACGAGTGTTTCATGTGTATGGTGGGTAGATCATAGACTGAGGAGTTTGTTTTATCTTGAATAAAGTTTCTGATATTTTTATTTATTGCTGGGGTGTATCTTGCAAGGAACAGATTCAATTTGTGTAAGAACGTATCCTGTATTATTTTGGTCAAAACCGACTATTCATTCTATTTCAGATCTCTATATTGTTGAAATTTTTACGTGGAGTCAGCATCAAGAAGGATTCGCCATTTTTATGCGGATGTCAAGTGCTTGAACTATTGTATCGTTGAAATTTTTCTCAGTATGAGTCCTCTGAACTCTCTGAAGTTCATGCATAATATTCTAATATTTCCGCTTATATGCAAAATGCGATGGTCCTAAATACTGGCTACTGGCCCTTTTAGTCGTCATTGAAATGGATCCTCGGGATTTCGAGCTATAGGTGCATTATGTACTAGTATAACCATTGCTTGAGTTACCATGGCATGCGTTTCCATTCATTTTATTTTATATATTAATATATTACAAACTCAAAGTTTCACTTAAATTTTACTGAACCAACTTTTTTTTTAAAAAAAAATTAACTCTGATTAATAGAAAATACAACAACAACAATATACTAAGTATATTCCCAACAGGTTGAGGTCTGAGGAGTCAGTTGTACCCTTACCTTTGTAATTATACAAGGAAGTATAAATAAAAAAATATCAATCAAAACCAAAGTATCCAATCAACCCCTATAGGTGGAGATTACACAAAACACGCATTATTTTTCCTTTTTTATTCTTTTGAATTTAAAACGTGCTAGTACTTAGTACATATGATTTATAAGAGCATCTCCAAGAGTCTCCTTATTCATCCTTCTTATCTCAAAAATAGGGGTTTTTTCTAAAAAGTTGTCTCCAACAGTTCCCTAAATTTGGTCCTATTTTTAAGAAGTCCTCAAATAGAGGCTTCTCTTCCTCATTCTTGGCGAGCCAAAAAAGACCCCCCCATTTCTTCTCCCCGCCTTTATTTTCCATAGGCGCTCTTTTTTTTTTTATTCGCGCGGTCTTTTCCTCTATCTCCTTCATCTCCCCCTCCACTGCCGCGTGCTCGCAGCATCCTCGCCGCCCTCCACCGCCGCCGGAAAGGTGCCGCCACTACCAGATGGAAGGTACTGCCGTCCTCCTTTTTCTGCACTTTCGATTCCATCTCTCTAGCTTCTGCCCACGCCCATTTTTCGTATGAATTCCCTGCGGCGAAAAGGGTCACAAGAATTTGGGGTCCCATAAACAAATTCGATGTGAATAGTACATTCTACACAAAGCTGCATGTCAATTTGCTCATGCCTTTTGTTTGATGGGATATCTTTGAAGGGTTGTTGATATATTGACTTGGATTTTTTTCTTTTTTTGATAATTGACAAGTAAAGGTCAGTGCTTTCTGTTAGAAAAGGGGAAAGAAGTCGAGCAAAAAACCCGAAAGTGAAGCTCTATACATATCTTTGTGTTTAGTATCAAATGGGATTCTAGATTTGAAGCTCTATATAGTTACAAATCATTCTGTGCTTTCTGTGATTCTTTGTTTTGTAGTTAGTGTGAAGCTTAAAGATAATTAATCAGTTACCACTTGATAATTCTTGTCATTTTACATTTCCAGAATTTCATTTGTTGATTGCTGGCTCTTGATTTTTCCCTGCAGATAATTCATTTGTTAAAGATAATTGTTGTGTTTGCTGAACAGTACTTTTGATGTGCTTGTCTGATCGGCATTGTATTTGGTACAGGCTATGTTGAACTCAATGGATATT